CGGGGCAGGCCCGGCGGGGTCGGCAGGCACAGCCACGGCAGCAGGAAAGGGGTAAGGGGGAGGCGGCGAACTCGGCGAAAGCTTCAGCAGCGGCAGCAGAAGCCCCGGGCCGCGAGCGGCACCCCGAAAGGGAAAAAACAAACACAAAAACCTCGAACTTAGCTAGCAACTGAACCCCTACCGCAACAGGTTTCATTTGGCAAGTGTTCATATATGGAAATTGCTGTCTGTATGTGCCTAAAACACTTAAAAGATAAAACCTCTGAGGATTCCCATGTGGCAGAAAAGGTTTCCATAGTGTGGGTCTGTGTAACTATGTCTAATTAGTACACATAATTAATACGGTTATGACTCTCTAATTAGTGCTTTTTCTATTCAGCCTTGAAAACCCAGACGTGTTGGATGTGTTTCTGTGGTTTAGCCACCACCATCCCCAGCCCCTCTGTCCTGGGCATTGATGCTGGGGGGCTTCAGCCCCTTGGGGTGATCCCCACCGTGAAGGGTGCAGAGAGCCTGGGGACCCCCGAGCCACTGCTGCCCACACAGCTACTGCAACCAGCCCAACACCCGCAGCCTCCTCTCTTCCTGGGGAAAAAAAGAGGTGCAAGCTCCACTGTGATAAAACTAGTATTTATTAACTAAATGAAGTGGGACCAGGGCCAGACTGATTCACGTTTTAATTGTTTAACTTTTTCCATGTATCATCATTTAAATTACATACTTAGCCAGGCATTATTTCCACCACCACACCCCTGTTTTTCTGCAGCTTTTGTTTGGAGTTAACTTTGGTTTTGTTACTGCCAGTCTGCCCCAGGGACTCAAAAAATTTCTCAGATGTCGTGTGCCACAGGAGGGGGACTGGGGGAAAGAGGCCCATTGGAAAAGTTTCCTGTTTTCCCTTTCTCATATATGAAATAAGCTATTTTAATTACTTTAGGGAGGAAAAAAAAAATCCCTACACATATAATAAAACCCAGAAAACCATGCTTGATTCTAGAGAAACTTATCTGCAAGTTGTTTGTCTCTGTTTCTCCCCAGCAAACACTCTCAGAGCTCTTCCAGCCAGGACCATCTTCTCCAGCAGGACACTTAAATATTCTGAACTTTTAGGTAGTCCTAAAGCGGTTGCTTGTGCAGGGAGCCCAGTGGGGAGGGCCTGGTCAGCAGCCAGTACTGCTTTCAGGGCAGTTAATGTGCAGAGGGTCATACTTCACTTGGCAAAGGTAAGCCTGGTTCAGACTTTTGGCTTTATTAATGAGAATAACTATTTTCTGAATCACAGAATCACTATGTTGGAAGAGACTTCTAAGATCATTGAGTCCAACTCAGCCCTAACACCTCAACTAAACTGTGGCACTGAGTGCCACATCGAGTCTTTTTTTAAATACATCCAGAGATGGTGACTCCACCATCTCCTTGGGTAGAGCATTCCAATACTTTATCACCCTTTGTCTTGGTTTGAAAAGACAGTCTGACACGCTGTTGGTCAGGGTGTTGGTAGCAGTCCAATTAAATGGTGGCTGCAGTCCTCCTGGAGTGACAGATGCGGTTCTGTAGAAGCAGTGATCCTGTAGAAGGGTGTAGTTTTCCACTGAAGATCCAGTGGTGAAGATGGGGGTCTGGTCTCTGGTCTTTCCTCTGGGAATCCAGTGGAGAAAGGCTGCCTGTGGTGTTCTCTGATTATATCCAGGTAGGAATGCAGGGCTCCTCCCCCTGGGTGGAGCATCTCACAATGGGATGTTATAATTTTATCAGTTGTGCAGTGAGACTCAATGGCCCACTAACAGCAAATATCCCCCTGGAGGGAGCATGGGTCATGGAAGAGATAAAGAACACTGCCACACCTGGTTTTAACAGATGGTAATAGAATGCATACTTCTGGTTGCATCTTGCATTGCAACCCAAGACACCAAGGAACTCTCTGAGTAAGTCTCCTAAGTAGGCCAAAGTCTGCCCTCTGAAAGTCCAATGTAAAAGTTTTATTGATGTTTCCCTTGATTTCACCAAATATCAAAAATTCTATAATTTCATGATCACTATTCCCCAAGCGGCCTCCAACCACCACATCTCCCACCAGCCCATCTCTATTTGCAAACAACAGATACAATATAATCCCTCCCCTGGTGGGCTCACTTACCAGCTGTGACCAAAAGCTATCCTCAGTACACTCTAAAAGTTTCCTAGACTGCCTCTTTTCTGCTGTAAAGTTCTCAGCAGATGTCTGGTATATTAAAATCACCTAGAAGAACAGGGACTGGTGATGCTGAAACATTCCCCAGCTGCTTACAGAATAAGTTGTCCACCTCTTCTT